GAGGAAGGAAGGAAAAGACTTAGGAAAATTTTTTTCCCTTTTGTTTTCTCCTTTTTTCTTCTTAAACTGAAGTATAGTTGACACACAATATTACATTAGTTTCAGGTGTACAACATAGTGATTCAATAAGTTTATACATTTTGCTATGCTCACCACAAGTATAACCCATACAACACCATTGCAATACTATTGACTATATTCCCTATGCTGTATCTTCCTGTGACTTTTCATTCCGTAACTGGAAGCCTGTATCTCTCACTGTCCTTCCCCCATTTTGTACCTCCCTCCCCTCTGGCAACCACCAGTTTGTTCTCTGTATTTATGGCTCTGTTTCTGCTTTTTGTCTCTTCTTCTTCTTCTTCTTCTTCTTCTTTTTTTTTAGATTCTACATATAAGTGAAATCATACAATATTTGTCTTTCTCTGACTTATTTCACTTAGCATAATACTCTCTAGGTCCATTTATGTTGTTGCAGACGACAAGATCTCACTCTTTTTTTATGACTAATATTCCAATGTATGTATGTGTGTGTGTGTGTGTGTGTGTGTGTGTGTATGTCTGTGTGTGTGTATACATCTTTATCCATTCATTTATCAATAGACACTTGGGTCCTTCCATATCTTGGCAATTGTAAATAACGCTGTGATTAACATAGGACAGAGGTGCATATATGTTTTCAAATTTTGTTTTGTTTTCTTTGGGTAAACACCCAGTAGTGGGATTACTGGATCATATGTTTTTTATATGTTTAATTTTTTGAGGAATTTGAGTATGGAGGCATACTGTTTTCCACAATGGCTGCACCAATATGCATTCCCACCAATAGTGCACGAGGGTTCCTTTTTCTCCACATCCTTGCCAACGCTTTTTATTATTTGTTTTTTTTATTCTAGTCATTCTGACAAGTGTAAGGTGGTATCTCATTGTGGTTTTGATTCGTACTTCCCTGATGATGAGTGATCTTGAGCATCTTTTCATGTGTCTGTTGGCCATCTGTGTGTCTTCTTTGGAGAAATGTCTGCTCATGTCTTTTGCCCATTTTTAAATTGGATTATTTGTTGTTTTTTGGGGGGGTGGTGGGTCAATAGAGACTATATGTGAGCACTCTGGGTGTACACAAATCCCCTAATCTTGCTGTGCTCACTGGGGCTTCCCTCTTGGTTTTCTTATTTGCACAAGGACCTGAGTCCTCCATGAACTTCAAGTCAGTTGACCAACGTTCTGGTGCTTTTCTGCCTAGCCTTGAGCATCACTGTTCCCAAACATTATGTTCCCCAAGAACTGGCTGAGATTTTGTTCTTTTTTTTTTTTTTAAGTTCATTTATTTTGAGAGAGAGAGAGAGAGAGAGAGAGAGAGAGAGAGAGAGAGAGAGTATGTGAGTGGAGGAGGGGCACACAGAGAAGAAAAGAAAGAGGATCCCAAGCAGGCTCCACACTGTCCACGCAGAGCCTGATGCAGGGCTCAAACCCACAAACTGTGAGATCATGACCTGAGCCAAAATCAAGAGTCAGACACTTAACTGACTGAGCCTCCTAGGCGCCCCAATAAATACTTATTCTTAATATGTGATCATTTTTTATGTGTCCTTTATAGTTGAGATTTTGTTTTTAACCAGATATACCACTACCAATCATGATACCACCATGGTTTGGTTGCCATTTTCTACCTACTGAATTGGATACCAGCACAGCCTAGATCAGTTCTGGGGCCACTACATACTTTGAACCCTGCCCATTGCGGGCGGGAGGGGGGGGTGGTCAATCCTGTGTCCAGGTTGGCTTTTTATAGATCATTTTGCCCATGGTAGATTAGCCTGCTGCGGATACACCAGCATACGGGGAGTTGGTGCCTGCTCAAGACTCTGCAGCTGAGTTTACCCCCTGGTCTATCTGACCCTGAGCGTTCTTCTTTAAAAAATATGTGGAAAGAAAACAAGATATTTCTTTATAGGCTGGTCAAATATTAGGCAGGGGTCTACCTCACTTTCAACTCTTTGTCCTATTTTATTTTAACGTGTCATTAGTGAGGATCTGTAACAGCCTTTAAACTATTTTAGGTGTAATAGTAGCTTAAAAAATCTGTTTTGTACATTTCAGGTATCTTCAGTTTCCCACAAGTGTCATTCAAAATCCTTTCTGATGGGTTTTAATTCTTTTGTTGTTGTTGATAAGTGTATCCCTTTAGTCATTGGCATTGTACAGCCAAGCTTAATAGATAGGCCGAAGTTCTAGGAGTTGAGTCTCCCAGGTGGCTCAATAGACTCAAAGAGCCAGTGCGAGAGCTGGGACACACAAGGGACGTGGATCCCCACTGGGAACATTGCAGTTAGGTTCAGTGACTTTTTTGCTTGAGGACTTGCTGATTCAAATGTCTGTGAGTTAGTTAGGGACTCTGTTGCATTTGAAATGCAATGCTCTAGTGCCTGGGTGGCTCAGTCGGTTGAGCGTCCGATTCTTGATTTCAGCTCAGGTCGTGATCCCGGGGTTGTGGGCTCAAGCCCCATGTAGGACTCCATGCTGAGCATGAAGCTTGCTTAGGGTTCATATTCTCTCTCTCTCTCTCTCTCTCTCCACTTCTGCCCCTCTCCCCCACTTATACTCTCTCTCTCTCTC